AAACCCTAAACCCTGAGAGAGTGAGAGCCTTTGTCTCTGTCTCTTTTACACTGTCTCCACTCTATTGTCTCCTTTCTTTGTACTGTCTCCTTTCTCTCTTCTGTCTCCTTTCTATCTTTCTCTGTCTCCTCTCTGCTGTCTCCTTTTGTCTACACTATTCTTTCTTCTGTCTCCTTTTTACTGTCTCCTTTGTATTGTCTCCTTTCTATCTGTTTCTGTCTCCTTTCTTTCTTTTTCTGTCTCCTCTCTGTCTCTTTTTTTGTCTCCTTTCTATCTTTTTCTGTCTCCTCTCCGTCTCTCTTTCTTTTCTTTTGTCTCCTTTTTATTTGTCTCTGTCTCCTCTCTCTCTTTCTTTTTTTTGTCGCCTCTCTCTCTGTTTCTGTCTCCTCTCTCTCTCTTTATTTCTTTTTCTGTCTCCTCTCTCTCTGTTTCTGTCTCCTTTCTCTCTCTCTCTCTCTGTCTCCTTTTTTGTCTCCTTACGAGTTTGAGTGCAATAGGCTGCAGCAGCTGTCTCTGTTTGTCTCCCCACAGCCCCGCGCGGGAGAGTACCCTTGTAGCTTTCCCAATAAAGAGAACAACCCCAGCAGCAGCAGCAGCAGCAGCTGCTGCTGCTGCTGCTGCTGCTCCTGCTGCTGCTCCTGCAGCAGCAACACCCATCCCCTTCTCTACACCCAGGGGGGCCCCCGGGGCCCCCCCAGCAGCAAAGCAGCACAGGGGGGCCCCCCTCACTGACACCTCAAACAGCCTCGACCACTCAAACACCAACCCTTCTACACTTAGCCCCGCATGCAGGTCTTCTGCAGCGAGGGGGGCCCCCCAGCCCAGGGGGGCCCCCGTGGGGGCCCCCATGGGGGCCCCCCGGGGGCCCCCACTGGCATGGGGGGCCCCCGGGGGCCCCCCGCCCGGGGGGCCCCCAGAGCGAAAAGGGCACTCAGGGGCCCCCCTGATGCCCCCTACAGATCTCCGCTTGATGAAGAACTCTCCGTAAGGATCAAACAACTGGCCAGACAGCAGCCAAGCTGATAGCTGCAGCAGCAGCAGCAGCAGCAGCAGCAGCAGCAGCAGCAACAGCAGCAGCAGCAGCAGCAGCAGATATAGTTGTTGTAGTAGGAGAACGGGATGGTAGGTAATAGAAGTGAGATACACAAAGGAGAAGGAATCAGCCAGTGCAGCAGCAGCAGCAGCAGCAACAGCAGCAACAGCAGCAGCAGCAACAGCAGCAGCAGCAGCAGCAGCA